GCCCGTCTCTTGTCAAGATCAGCCCTGCAACACACACACGCACACACACACACATACTAATGGTGAGATCTGTTACTGCATTATGATCACATACAGTGCTTTTCCAACGTATTTTAGGTTTTCTTAGTTTTTTACAGTTCAATTTTAAGTTTCTTAAAATTTCCTTTTTTGTACAAAAGTCTGTTTTTGGTACGAGAATGTGTTGTCTGAATATTATGTATGTGGTATAGGAAGATGTGAGCTAACTTGTAAGTTCCCATGTACTCATCCACTGGCTTCAATGGCCTTGAAGAGACATCCATTCCAGCCCCAGTGATTGCAGAAACTCCGACAGATCTAACATTCATATAGAATTCCTCCCAAGCCAACGAGAGGCTACGTGTCAGAGTTGATCTGTAGGAATGATCAGAACCCAATGCCACACGAAATACCTCAAAAATCTTTCATCCACTGCGTTCTCCAAAAACAAAATAAAAAAAAAAAGAAGAAGAAAACCTGTTTACTTCCCTGGAAAAACAATAAAAACATAACAAAGTAAGGTGTTCGCAAGAGACTTCATTACAGGAATGCACATAAAAGAAATATAACCAAACCTCCAGGGCAAAGTCATGTTGCGCTACATCCGTCTTGTTGAATACTAACACTAGTGGCAGCCGAGTCTTGTAAAGGATGCTACAAGCATAAAACATGTTGTTCATGAAGGTAGCTGGATTTGCTGAACGTGGTGTATCAACAACATAAGCAATTACAGCGGGAAATGTTGATGCAAAAGCCTCGGAAATAATTTCCCCAGATGCAGACCAAGTGAAAATCTCGATTTGGCCGGACGTGTCGACCAAAACATAGTCAAGCTGATCTGCACGTCTCTCGACCATAGATATGACCTAAATTTTCAGGAATGATCAAGCCAAAAACCCACCTTTCTCCTATTAAAGTCTGTGACAGGCACAGCAAGATAAGCAACAGTATACACAGTACTACTAAGAATTAAATTAATAACGGTGACATGGAAAAATCCAACTTTTCACTAATGTAAGAGCAGTTAAAATTTTTACAGAGCCTAGAATTTGCTTATCATCAGCGTCTGAGTTTTAATTACTTCGAATTCAGAAGTGGAGACAAGGACATAGTGACATTAGTAGCAACATATCTATGTATCTACACACACACACACACAAACGGATACAAAGGTATTATTTGGTTCAAACAAGATAAAAGATACTGCTCTGAAGTTAAAATAACCACACGAGGCCAATGCACTGCGGTTCATTTTTTTATTAACGGAAGAGATTCCAAAACAATATATATTAAATACAGGGGGGAGCAACAAAGCACGCCTCTAACATGGATCAGATGTAGACCAAGTAACTAGTAGAAACTAAGGAAAATTATAGAAAGCGAGTGGGAAACAAAACAACCAAGAATAGTTGGTACAACCTAAATATTTATAAATGAAACAAACAAATCCTCCTTAGTTGAATTACAAATTTCAAACTGCCGGTTTGGTTTGTCCAGTCAACACCACTACTCCTATTTTATGTCTTCAACTCCAAATCATAGCTGACGTAATCTTACAGAAGAGAAATGCAGGTGCTTTAACAAAGATCGCATAAGCAGGTTGGACATATACCTCATCAAATTTTGTCAAGAACAAGTTAAGGGAAGTCAAAATTCGTCCATTTGGTTCAAGATTGAACTTCTTCATGACCTACTTGTATCGAACTGTGTCCCTGATGTCAATGTTTGCTTCGTATGGAAGGGTCACGACAGCAGGATCGAGATTCATAACATAACCACGGATATTTGATGCCATTGTGTGTCAAACTAGCCAGTGAAGAAAGGTAGTCTTTCCGCTTCCTGAACATTTGATAATAATATAACGATTTTTCAAAGCGTAATTTGTTGTCTAAAATGTGTGTATAACAGGGAACAGAGATTTATTGTTATTTTTTGCACAAACTAGTTACCTGCCATGCCCACAACGATTACGATAACTGGCTTCTTCTTGAAGCCAAAGGATGCCTCTCCAATATTCAGTTGACTCATTGTCTCAAAAATGCTGTCAGCATCTTCGGTCTTAGACTTGAAAAAAATTAAAAA